GAGAAACGCAAACAAACTCCTTAGCCAAACAACCTCACAACACCATCAACAAAACACTAAAGAATAGCAGTTAGACGCTCAGAACTTAGAATAAAGTTTGAAGCAAGCAGTAGTGAAATAAGTAAAATCGAGGAGTATTTACCACCTAATAACTATCATCGAGGATATTTGGCAATTTGTATGTATGTATGTATGTATGTATGTATGTATGTATGTATGTATGTATGTAGGCTTTCCGGACGTCCCTAATTTCCTCGTTTGGAAGGTTTTTCCAAAGCCACGATTCTACGCTGGCGCATCAGCTCAAATCCCTTCGAAGAAAGACGTCGATTGGCTACTTCTGGGCTACTAGAACTGCGAATTACCTTAGGTGATGTGGGTCAACATAATGAATTGGGACAAGCTTTCGCATTGCTCATGCCATTCCATTCCGTGAGTTCCGACGTAGACTTCTTCGGCCGTTCCTCTGGAGTCAATCTTGGCGTTGAAATCGCCAGCGATGACCTTGAAAAAAGTATGGTCTTCTCTGTAGAGCCTCTTCAGATCCATATCCTTCCGACTCTTCTTCGCAGTTGATGTTGGTGCGTAGGCAACGAAGATTGCTACAAGCTGTGGTGCGTAGGCAACGAAGATTGCTGGAAGCTGGGGTTGAGTCACATTTTCTTAGTCACAAAGGTTCGATTCGGGCTGTCAGCTTTTCGTACGGACCGGTGTTCATGGCAAATTACGTATTGGCGCGGACCCTACGCCGCCAATGCCTCTCTATCGAATGTTCTTAGAAACAGTTCTCCTCCAGTCTCAAATTGAGGGAGCCCCCAACGCTACCGTATTGAGGGCTCCCACTGATTCAGGGAAATGGGGCCAATTTATATTACTGTTTTTGGCAAATGGGCTCCTAACGAGTAGCTTGCCAGGCTCTAACGTGGGGGTGGGTTGATTTCGGTTGCTAGTCAGGCTATCCCGGATGGACGAGGGGCTTCGATTTTGGAGACGGCCCCGAATCGCCTCCCAGATAGTTCAAAATCACTCGGATGTAAGCTTTTGGTTGAGTCGACGGGCTGGATACCAACTGCACCCACAGACTCACCACACACGTATGCGTGGACACGCCTGTGTGAAACAGAAAGTATACCGACCAGCACAGCAGAAACAGGGAGCCCTTAGTCGAATTCACCTGCGTCTCTGGGCAAGTTCGGCGACTTTTGGCCGAGGATCTACTCCCCTATACGCCCCTGGGGATGCCCTAGAGAGCGTCGTCGCTGAGCGGCTAGGATCATTCAGTGATAGGGAACCCTTAGTGAGATCCGTAGGTTTTCAAAGATAGGATCATCAAAGCAGTTCGCTTTCGAGTCGGTCGTGATCATTGCTGGCACATAAAATGGAGGATTAGGTCCTATCGAATGTTATATCAGCAAATAGAACGATGGCGCTCATGCAGAAATATGGGAAGTACACCTTCACAAGGAAAGTGATTAATAAAACAGAGAAAAGTTTTTTAGAGGGGTCACGGTCATTGGGAAGACTCCTTTGGTTTTGTGCGTACCGGTGTGAGAGTTGACAAGGACGTGTGCCCAAGGCAAGAATCAAGAACGGCCGAACAGAAATAGAGCAGGGATACGCGCGCAACGTGCGAGAAGTTCGACAACAGACTTGGGACCTCCATCGCAGACTTTGGACCTCCATCACATGTTAATGGCGCGCTATCACTGGCATAATTCAGAATTTGGGTATCGAGTCCATCCAACTCGCCGGAGTCGGTTAATTTGTACCATGCTTATATGTAGGGATAAAAGCACTGAGATGTGTTAGGTTGATGCATAATTATTGCGGATTTTTTCGCGACCTTTTTTCTCTTGATAGAATTTGAAAATTGAGTCCAGTTTTTTTCTAGAAATGATCTACTTGATTTCCTCTACAAGAATGTACCTAGAAAACCATCCGCATATTCGCGATATCAGGCTTAACTACTTCGAGAAAGATTGGAAGGTAGCGCAGTCATTCCGCGATCTCAGTAACTTTTCAGCGATCGTTCATTAGGTGATCTAGTGAAAGTACACATGATTTCCTGGTGGTCGAACACGGTCAAATACGGTCAAAGATTTTGATATTTCCTATTTCCCCGCATTTTACCTGCCTCTATACATTAGGTTTATGCATAATTATTGCGGATTTTTTCCAGCAAATTTCACTTAAAGAAACTATAGAAATACTAAGCGAAGACATATTCAAATAATTACTCCGGAACTTGTTCAACCTCTACGTCGAGTACTGCTTCCCATTGATTAGTTAGTCGGATCCAAATAGCGAAGAAGTTTTGATCCTTACGGGCGATCCACGCCTTGACATCGGCCATCTAGTCATCCAAATCGACGTAGCTTCTATTCTCTAGCCATTTTTTCGATGAACGGTTGACGAGATAATCAATCCATAAAAGTTTCTGCTGGTGAATATGGCAGATTTAGGGGCAGATCCCATTTCTTGGTTGGCTCTGGCTCATTGTTCGATCGCCGAAAAGTTACTGAGATCGCGGAATGACTGCGCCACCTTCTAATCTTTCTCGAAGTAGTTAAGCCTAATTTTGCGAATATGCGGATGGTTTTTTGAGTATATTCTTGTAGAGAAAATCGGGTAGATTATTTCTAGAAAAATCTCGAACTCAATATCCAAATTCTATCGAGAGAAAAAAAGCCGCGAAAAGATCCGCAATAATTATGCATCAACCTGATAATATATTGGCAAGAAAGTTCTGTGATAAAAAGGAAGTCATTTTAGGTTGTCCCATCGCATTACATATATTCCTTGTCGCACGACTTGGATTGACTTTTTTGGGAACTTACAAAGCAGAAGCAGTCTAACTTGCTTGAGGTCGAGAGCAACACTTTCAACCATGATTTTTGCGAAATGCTACAGTAGGTATTGGTTGAAGAACACTTAGCCTGTATTCACACATGTTATCGACTCTACTGCGATGTGAAAAAGCTAGGTAGCTTACTTCCCACCAAGTAGTTAACTTTTTAAAGGATTTGCAGAAGCAATTCTGTTCATTTTCGTTCTTCAGGTGGGTTTTGTTGGATTTTTCTGAGTCTAGAGTTGTTTGATGATTCTTTTGCTCTGTTAGCCGATCGCTTCCAGTAATGGGACAAACCTTCGGTTATTACTCTTTGACTGTATAGCAGCTTTTCGCCATTGCCGTAAGCAGGGAATGATCCATGCCCAACCTTCGAGGCAGTTTGCTGTCTCAACGTTTACGATTACGAAGGCTGTCGGAGTCTCGCACAGGTCCAATCAAACGAGCCAGCTGGGCAGGATCACCACTTCTGAGGACGGCAGTAAGATCACCGGTACCTCGAGCCAAGATTCCAGGCGAACATTTCCTGATAGGTTGGCTCAAGTGTCGTTGACGTTGCTACCATCTATAGGTTTCATCAACAGACGATTGCGGAACGCTGAATTATATTGAGGAATTCATGAGGAAAAGTAATCGGACCCTCTGAAAAACTCGATTTCAAGGAGGCGCATGCGCGGCACGGGCGAGAAGCCATCCGGCGCGAGATTCAAGGCTTCTTTTGTTTAGTGCAGATGGAACTTCGTTCGTGAAACGACCCGTTTACACGAGGTTCGATACCACATACCAGTGACCAATTGTAAAGTTGGGGGTGTAGTTGCTCGCCAAAACTCCTGTGGAGTTGCCACGCGGTAGTGCCACTGTTTTCTGGGCAAAGGCAGTTGATTAGAAATTTATTCCTCAAAATTTTATTGTTATAAATCAACTAATCAATCAGTTACGTGTCTCGATGTGGAAATATTGTCCTCGGATATTGTCCTGTCGAAGTCGTTGGTAGCTGCCCGAAGCGTTGTTGGATGAGGTGACGAATTGACACGGAAGATTGGTGAAGTGGTGATGCTGAAGACGGTCGAAAAGATGGCGTTGAAGCTGAGACGTGGCGTAGAAGCTGAGAAGTGGCGCTGAAGCCCCGAGGTGACGCTGAGGCTTTCTTTAATACGGTCGTTTCGCCTTCCATAGAGCAACATAATCTGTGATTCAGCTGCGTTGAACGATTCCTCTGTTATCGATTACAGTAGCATTCTAGGCACTAGGTCCCTGTACCATGTTACCACCACTATGGCTCAGCAAAGGGAGAATGTGGTGTAGTGGCAAGTGGCGCACTATCTCACAAGCACTACACTGCTTCGAGTCTCGGATCGGTATCCACCTAGGCCCACAGTGCCTCCCATCCCTCCGGAGTTGCTTATTTTTTACCAGACTGCCAGTCTAGAAAGATAAAGCACTGACTTGTGCAAGGCCTGGCCACCACATGTCATTATATAGGCCACACACGATTAATACGCCACTGCGATTCTGAATGAAAGTCGAATGCGTAGGCGCATCCGTCAGATGGTATTGTTTGACGCCCGAAGACTTCATCTCTTATCCTAACTCTCGGGCCTCCAACTCGTTAGCAAATGAAAACCGTGTTGTATGGAGCTCTTAAAGGTTTTCAAACGGTGCACGACTGCAGATGCTGCCAAACAATTTCTTTTTTTATCTTTATTTATGGTGCAGCAGCTGTGCGTGGACATACTGGGAAAGTGCATGCTGCCTTTCGCCCATTTTGTGCACGGCAGGAAATTCCTTCCAGCATGATTACGACCCTAACAAACAATTAAAAAAGGATGCCTTCTTCTGGATAGAAATTTCTCAAAGTCCAAATTATTATCAGAACTACATATTCTATTTTTAGCCATAGTTCGCCATCTTTCTAAAAGTTTCATTGTCCCACTTCCATAGAAGGTTTTTGACGTGGAATCGAAAAACCGTTCAATGTGCATTTTGCAATCTTCCAAAAGATCAAGCAAGATCCCACGAAAAGAATTACGGAGAGGCCTGAACAAATCTTTGATGAAGCTTGATCGGGTGCGGTCAGTGCACCGCGGTTTTCGGGGTACCACATCCCTATTTCACGAGTCGATCGATCCTTTTCCCAATGTGTCCTCATAAAGCGAGGATTGCCTCCACGACCATTGCCGATCCTCGAGGCTGACTTCACGCTGCCTAAGTTCTGCAAATCACGCACTGAGCATTCCGATAGAGCATTGTCTCTGTAAATATCTCTCCTCTTTTTCGCAAATTGAGCAGCTCTATTGCTTCTTCAGTATAAGAGAAGCCTGAGGGGTCGAAATTATCTCGATGGTGTTCCCATTCAGAGGGATTCTACGCAGTTATGGACATGTGCATGCATCAGCGCAAGTAGGCCTAGTTGGTAATAAAAAAGCGCCTGTCCTTTGTTGGCATATTGTGATAGTAAAAGCGTTTACCCTTTATGGCATGTATCTACGAAATGCTATAGAATTTCTGCGATAGCTTAACTCCGTAGGAGGCGGCTATTCGATAGAGGGCTCGCAATTTCCTTTTTTTTACAATAAGTATTGATAGCCGTAATGTGCTTTTGCAGGAAGAACCCAGAGATGTAACTGTCGATGTTGGTTCTTCCGTTTCGTTTGACTGCCGTGTTTCTGGTGAACCGCAACCGCAAATAAGCTGGAAAAAGAAAAACGATCAAATGCCAGTGGCCAGAGCTTATATTGCCAAAGACAATCGTGGCTTACGCATTGACAGGTGCGCATGGTTTTGATATTGTTAGTCCTGATCATGTTTCGGAGCGAATGATTCGTTAAATCTGCCGTTATCTGATAAAAATAAACATCCAGAGTGCAAGCATCGGATGAAGGTGACTATATCTGTTACGCTAGAAATCCTGCTGGTTCAATCGAGTCGTCTGCCCGATTGAAAGTTCAGGTCGTTACCATAAAAGATTCTATCCGTTTTGAACCGATTTTCATGCATCTGGCCTGAAATGTCGCTTTAGGCGCCTCCGACATTCCAAACCAAACCCGTTGATCGAATCGTTGCCCATGGCTCTACAGCCACTTTTGACTGTGTACCTGTAGGTCAACCAACACCTGCGTATTTTTGGAGTAAAGAAGGACAACAGGTGACCTTTAACGTTATTTTCAGAGCTTCCACGTCGCAATTGAAAACAGGCCTGTTGGGCCTTTGGTTCGCGGCTTTCATGGTAGAATTTTTTTATTTCAACAACTACAAACTACATGCTCTTGCGAAGTATAGTTATGTATGGTAATATTGTTCCGGCATCTATCATTCTAGCCTTGTCTTTGCCAAGTATCACCTGTATCACCTGTATCCGACTTGTCGTCGCGAACTTCTCCATTCACGCAAGTCGACTTTGAGCCATCCGTTCCGGTCCTGCGCACGTCGTTTCCATTGTTGGCGAAGCATATTCACCATAGGATCGGCCCATCTCAATTTAGGCCTTCCCCGCGCTCGCTTGTGATCCAGTGGGACCCATTTCGTTAGCCGGAAGGTCCATCGGTTGTCAAGTGAACTAGTGTATTTGATCCAGGCTAAATCGGATAAGTTTAGTTCGTAGTGGCCGTCTTCACAGCTGTTGTAATGAATGTAAGATTATTTGAGCTCCACTTTCCCAGAACAATGGGAAATTAACTTTTGTGGGGTAGATGTATCCACATATTCATAGACCCGTATGCATAACGCCCAGGGTAGGGAAGGAGAGAGTCTCCCCAGGGAAATGTTTGGCAAGGGCGCGAATGTTCAAATGACTTTTTGCCTTTGTTCGGTGGCAGGATAGTTGCAATGGAGCAGCGTTTTTCCTATAAACAGGTGAAGAATCGACAGCCCTTGGTAATCATGTGATGTTTGTCTCTGCGACCTTTCCTTAACGAGAGCTCAGAGAAGCACGACCCCATTGACTCCCCACCCTGGAAAGGGAGGCCTCCCTACCCTGGGAGGGGGATGAACGTACGCCAAAAATCGAGCTGGGGCGCCGATGGTCATGTATACCGCTACTCCACTATTCACTACATTACTGGACTTAGCGCTTATTCCTCTGATTTCTGCTGCCGAATTCGTTAAGTATTGCTCTGATTTCATCCTACTGCTGCTACTAATTTACCTACTAATTTATTTATATTGCTGAATTCGTTGCTATGAAGCAGTCGAATCTTCAGATAAGCAGGTTTCTTTCTAGATTTGCATTAGTTATCGTGAGCATGTTGCATCACGATCCTGGTGTGATTTGAGAAGGAAACCTGAATTATTTCTGTGAGCAACCAATAAGTAGTTTTTCGCTTGATTTGCATATCATTACATTTCCTATTGCCTTTTATTCTTTGTTAACCCTGCTACTCCTGACGTGGGAGTGGGATGGCGCCATGGCGCTTGTTATGCGTGATATTAATTTATTTTATGTGCCACTTTTGTTCATAGCTCTCAATTTTCATCCTAATTGAATGCTGTCAGGTACTGCAGTTGTAATCGTGCACCTTCTGCTCGCTTGGCTCTTAATTTTTTAGCGAGCCCTGCCTTGAAAAGCGGTTTACGAGCCTTCGAGCAGAAGGGCCACTTCTCGCCTAGGTGCGAAAACTTGTTGTCCATTGTGTTGTCCACATCTTTCATGAGCGCATAAAAAATGAAGTGTTGAAGAGGTATTATGATAGCAATAGTAAGAAAGCTCGGCGCTTAGAGCAGAAAAGTTGTTTTCGAACAAGAATCATGTGTATACCACGTGTAAAGGTTGAAATAGACGCTGCAACGGATTGAAATGCTTCGATACGGTGCCATGGAGAAAAGTTTGTCTACCAAATGTACATCAGTGCTAGTGACGGGAAATAAATTTTAGGAAAGGTAAATCCGAGGCTACGGTGCTGGGGGTAGGCACATAGAGGAAGATTGCGTATGTGCAGGATTCTCGAGGTATGAGCATCCCGAGCCTAGGATGGCGCAGAAATGTAAAGGTTAAAGGGTGGAAGAAGTGGCTCGTATCGAATAAGTAATCCTGAATGGATTGGTGGTGATATGGTTCTTGCGGCCTCTTTGATGACGCTGCTTTCAGCCCCAAATCTCTGAAAATCCTGTATAAGATGAGAAATAGCCCAACTTCAAGAATAGAGTCATTTAATGACTAACATTTAGAAACCACAATATGAACTGTTTATCTGGTGTGCAAATTTTATTCGTTCAAAGCTCTTTTTTCTAAGCGCTTCACTGTCTTTTTGTCCCCTCCATTCGTTTTTTCACTTACTTAACCCATTGACGACCATGCAGTCCACATGTGGACTGCAGTTGTATTTTTTGTTTTATTCATCTATATTTCCACTTTTTTACAATTTTTTTTTCAAAACATTACGTCAGGTCTAGATGAAACTACATAAAGCGTGACCCTGGAAAATCTTCTAGTCTTGCGATTGTAAAGGTGTTTTTTCGAAGGAGTACATTACCTTGGTGAATTTTTCGTTCATTGAACAACTTCAAAAAATGGGAATTTTCGAAAAGACGATCGTCATTAGCATTTTGCCTGTCATCGACCAAATGCAGAGCTCGTAAAAGTTCCCCCAAAACGATTTCTTGTAATGGAAGTCATAATTGAATGACCACTAGCGCGAACGCTGTTTCTATAAAAAAGATCAATAATCACTCAGTGTGGGCATTCTTTTCAAACCCATTCGAAGGAACATTCCGAAAACTTATAAATATCTCTTATAAACTTCAAAAAAATGGTCATGCTGGACCATGAGAGTGGACGAAAAGCGCGCCGGTCCCTCGCGGCGGTTTTCCCGCAAAACGTCATGGTCGTCAATGGGTTAATTACGACCTGAGAGCAGCGTGGTGATATTTAATTCGCGCATCTAACTAAGGTTACTTTGTACTTGGGTGCGCGATAACTGGATGCTCGGTTCAAAGTTTCCACAACCTTGCAAGTGCATTTAGTGTAACATCGTAACATCTGCTACTTCCTTCAGCCTTCGTAGAATGTAGCTACCCTCCACTCAGTTAAAAAGCTTTTCTGGGGCAAAAATCCACACTCTTTCCAAATTCCGGTTCATTTAATCGAAAAACACGAACATCGCATACCAATCTAACATTGGCAAGACGGTAGTGGAGGCGCGAAATACTGCGCTCCAGCGTCACTCATCTGACCCACGGCGAAANTGTCATTTAACAGGATTTCAAAGCAAGCCATCCCACGCCCTACAAAGGCACGACGACTGCACGGTGGTGGTCTCTCCGCCCGACGACTACTACGTAGGGTTCCTTTGACCCTCGCGAATCGACGAGACGGTTTAGGGTGGTGCCAGGAGCATAGCGAACGGGCCGATGAGAAATGAGGCCGCTTGCTTTTTTCGGATGAGAGCAGATTCAGTCTGAACAGTGATTCTGGACGCACCCTCATGGCCAGAGCTGGGGACACGCACTTCTCTCAGAAACGTTGTGGAACTTGATCGTTCTGGTGGTCGAGGTGTTATGGTATGTGGAGGCATTATGCTTCGTAACCGTACTGACCTCCAGATTTTCGAGCGTGGCACCCTTAACAGTCAGCGTTACTGTGAAAAGGAACCCCTCCCTAATGTCTATACTTTCAGGGCTGCAGTGAACCCTGAATTCATTTTCATGGATAACAATGCGCGACCGCATCGAACATCTCAGGTGGAAGAGCTCTTTACACAAGAGGTTATCCAGCGAATGGAGTGCCTGTCCGTGCCTTCGATCTGAATCCCATGGAGCACGTGTAGGATGCACTGGATAGAGGCATTACAGCACGTCCAAACGCACCACTGACCATCCAGTAATTGTCAGTTGCGCTGATAGAGGAGTGGAATGCCCTACCACAATAACTCATTTCCAACCTCGTAGGAAGTATGGGATCGCATTGCAGAGCATTTACTGGTGTCCGTGGTGATCACGTACCCTATTAGGAACCGCGTCGCTTTTTTTGAAGTACTAAGATACGTTGTGAGGAACTATGTGTAATCGATACCTTTCAATAAAAATGCCTTATTTGCTAGTCCTATTTCGATTTTCTGCCAGTTACTTCCTGTGCAATACCGTAATGATCCTCTATTGGTACGGTATAAATTTCATCGAGCTCTGTCGTCTGGCAGAGGTTCAGTGATCAAAAGTTGCTTTCGTCCCTAAGTTTTCACACCAGTGTAATATTTCTTTGAAGTGGATACCACCCAAACAAACCGAGGGTATTATCTTTTCATGACTGGATGACAGACTTATTCATAAGAACCCCGTGCGCTCCAGTTGTTTTCTGTTTTTATTTGTAAGAATGTAAATGAAAGGATGTGAGTGTAATAATTTAACTATCACTTTCAAAGGGGTCATTTGTTCAATATAGTTACGTGTTTTTCCGTTCTATAATTCTTGTACAACTGTTTTCAGAACCTGCTATTCCCAGGGCATGTATCAGCTGATGGGCGAATCAAAGTTTCACCATCAGGCACGTTGACAATCTCTGAGGTACGTCCATCGGACCAGGGCGCATACGTATGTGCAGCAATGAACTCGGCTGGGAGCTCTCTTAGTAAAGCGTTACTGAAGCTCCCGACAAAAAGTTAGTTGTTTTGTTTTTTCACAGATTGCCTAAGTGTTAGCATTGTTTTTGTGGAGTCAGCCTACTCATAAGACATGATACATATATTGTACTGTTTGGCAGAACTCCAATGGTTAAGGTTTGTGACCGACCAACGAACCAGAGCAATTAACCGAACAATTTATCCGGCAATTTAAACGATCGCCATACGAAACAAGACAACGATACAAAGAAAACAAAAAAAATTGTCGAGCGCTGGCACCGGGTCTAAGCGTTCCGTCGAGGAGGGCAGCGGCCGGGGCAGGTCCGTGGAAGGGTGAGCTTCGAGTCGAAATCCGAACAAGAACAATTCTCTGAGGTCGCCCCCTTATATACTCTCTGGG